GTGCCAGTTCTGCGGCACGGAGGGATAATCCACTTAACTGGATATTCTAGTGGGAGTATCCCTCTCGTACAGCAGTGCATGATGGGAGAAAGGTCTTAAGTTCCCCATGTAGTCCCCTACTGTACAACCCCTGTAATGTCAGTAAGGAAACCCCTTGCATGGGGAACCACATAAATACTGTGACCTGTGATTAAAACCTCAGTTGACTCCCAGCCTATGTGTCATCTAGTTCTTGGGAAGGAAGGATTTATATACTGCTACTGGGATTATTACATGCTGTACTTATTTTACTTGGATGATTTTATGCTGTTCCTGTTACCCAGCGGAGATACCGTGGATGAAACTACCTCTCCGCTACACCATCTATAAAATAAAATTTAAAAAAGGGTGGAGGAGAGAAATAGGAAAAAGTCAGACAAATCAAGTATCGGAGCAGGTATCACCTATTCATACTTAATGGGTTTAAAAACATTACATTATATATTGTCAAGATTCAAGAGGTCTGAGTATTTCTTCCAAGGAAGCTACCAAGCTTAAAATGTTGACATATGCATAGACGCCTTTTTGGCATATGCGTGATAAACCCAAACCTCCCACATATACTCGGACACCTTTATTTGGGAAAATTATCACAGTTTTATTAATAAATAAATAAAACTAAAATATTTTAGTGTCATTGTCACATATTAACATAACATAACACCCCAACTAATTTAACAATACTACATCAGACAATAACACACAACACAATAAGTAAAACCACATTATAACATAACCATTGCCACTGAGGGCATGACATAACCATTGCCACCGAGGGCATGTTTTCCAGCTTTCTTCCATGTAGGGGCATACCGAGATATAACCTACACGCCAGGTTCGGAGATACCGACAAGCTCGAACGTACCAATACTCTTCCAAACCAAACTGTTCTTAGTGAACCAAAACTATTTTCCATCAGGACAAACAACCTATACCCCAACTTCTCTATCCATCCCCCGCCGCCGTGACCAAACGGAAGCTAGAGATCAAATACTTATACTCTTTCACACCAAACTGTCCATGTAGGGGCATACCAAGATACACCCTACACACCAGGTTCAGAGCTACTGACGAGCTCCAACGTACCAATACTCTTCCAAACCAAACTGTTCTTAGTGAACCAAAACTATTTTCCATCAGGACAAACAACCTATACCCCAACTTCTCTATCCATCCCCCGCCGCCGTGACCAAACGGGAGCTAGAGATCAAATAAGGGAGGGAGGATGTGCAAAACAGGTAAGTGTGGATTAATTACGATGGCCACTGATCAATGTCAAGGCCCATTCCCCTTAGCTGCGCTGCTCCATGGGCTACATTCTGCTGTTTCTCTCGCTAAATACTAACTATGCTCTTATATCATTCGGACATTTGGTTACATGTTGTTAGCCAATTTATATCTGAAGATTTCCATCTATGAGACAAATAGGATGGGTTATTCTTGACTTTTTTTTTTTTTTATTACTATTGGGAAAATCAATGTTCCATAAAAACATATAATGCATAATCTCAGAAAATGAAAATAGTTTAAATAGACAGAATTTAATTTGAGACTTTATCAAGTTTAGTCTTGTACATTCCCACCAAATATGTAAAACATGTCCTTTTCCTAAGTGGCATCTCCAACAGATGTCCGAGTTATTTGTAGAGATCCTATTAAGTTTGTAGGAACTTAAAAACATCTATATATAATGTTATGGTGAAGTTCCAGTATAGAAATACAATGAGTGTTCTAAAGAACCCGTTTAATCGCAAGATGCCATTCATTTAAAGGAAAATGGATTTCTAGCTTGGATTCCCATCCACTTGGGGGGGTGGGGGGGGATAGGGGGTTACTATCTTCTAGCCTGGTGGATTGGGCAGTAACTCTGAAAAAATTTCAGATAGATAGAATATATGTTTACTGAGGGGTAGAAATTTGAAAAAGTTCCTCCACCCAGTAATGTGAGAGTATCGTCATGCCCAACATATAGTTCTTTACACGTAAATAAGAATATATCTCTTTATTGGAAGGCTCAAATTGAGAAATAGGTGTAATAATTTCTTCATATATGAGATCTGAGATTTTAAAATACCTCTAATTTTCCATTGAGCCACATTTAGGTCCTGTATGTCATAAAAGAGTAGTTCAGAGACTTGAATTTAAATTTAACCTGGAAGTAAAACGACCTAACATCAATGCTTAATGTAAAAGGTGTATATATCATGATAGGACACTCCACCATCTATTATTTCTAAAAAAGATATTATATGAAAGAGAGTTATCATTAATGGTATACTTTCGAGCTGGACAAAAGTGGTAAGTGGTGTCACTCAGGGTTCTGTTCTGGGACCACTTCTATTAAACAAATTTATAAACGATCATGAAATAGGCATTGAAAGCCATGTTCCAGTGTTTGCAGATGCCACAAAACTCTGTAAAGTAATACAATGTGAGCAGGATATTGCTTTGCTACAGAGGGATTTAGACTGATTGAGGGACTGGGCACTCAAATGTCAGCTGAAATTTAATGTAGAAAAATGCAAAGTTATGCACTTTGGGTTAAAGAATGCGCAAGTAGCTTACAACCTAAATGGAATTATGGATAACAACACATGAGAAGTGCCTCAGATTTGTTTTTTGTTTTCCTTCTTTTAGATTACCAGCAAATACAAATGTGAGAGAAGCTTAACTTGATGTTCAAATGTTTCTTTTCAGCTATGTAACTATGTAACCCCTTCCTTACCAAGCAGTTTTTGTTTGAAAAAAAATATTAGGATTACATTTATTTGAAACAAGATTGCATATCCAGCATTCGTGTGCATAGGTTGCTTTTCACACAATACTAAAAGTTAAAATATATAAATTCATACAATTTTTATATATCATCTATTTGTTCATTTTTAATAGAATTTTTTGGAGACTGAAAAGCTTTAGACTGTATTCAGTGTCCTTTTTCTTAAGACTTTTCCCACCGGGTCCAGAAATGGTAGAATAAAAGCAAAAATGCCTGCTGATGCCAGCATTAAGTGAGCACTCAGAACAGCAGTCCAATCTCCCCAAACTGCAGAGCAATTCCTTTGTACAGCAATATCAAACCTACTCTATTCCTTGGTGGTCCAGTGGTCTTGCTATACGATCTACAGCCTGTTACTGAAGTGATTCTCTGGTGGTCCAGTGGTTCCCCTTCCTGGTGGTCCAGTGATCTTGCTATCTGATCTGCAGCCTGTTACTGAGCTGGCATATACTAAAGTGAGGACCTCACCAAGTATCCAAGGTGGGGATTATACTACCTATGCTGATTACACTGAGCGGGCTATCTGCTCAGGTAAATTTGAGTATACAGTTGCAAGAAAAAGTATGTGAACCCTTTGGAATGATATGGATTTCTGCACACATTGGTCATAAAATGTGATCTGATCATCATCTAAGTCACAACAATAGACAATCACAGTCTGCTTAAACTAACAACACACAATAGTCATAGTCATAGGGTCGGTCTAGTTTCGGGAGTATGAAAGTGCCGAACGGCACTGGGTTCGTATGTTTAGAAACGGATGAAAGTCTGGAGGTCCAAGCGGGGTTCGTGTAAAATAGTGGCCGAAAACAGTACCATGCGGTCGACGACAAACCTCGCTGGGCGTTCAGCAGTTAAAGATGGCCGCCGCCACGTGTTCGTTCATATCGGTCGTTTGGCATTTTGTTTGGTGTTTTGGAGGTGAAAAAGGTTAACAAGGCAAACCGCAGCTTCTGGGGGACTAATAGGCGGCACACTCCATATGCCAGGTGGTCGGTCATTCATTCATACGAAAGATATGGTGAATTACATTTCTGGTTTATTTAGAGGAAAGGAACAGACACATTGTAACAAAGCAGCAGACAGAGGGTATTTGTAACACATAGGAAAGTGTATATTTTGTTCCATTTTATTTGTTTTACTTATAGTTATTCTGATTCCCAACCCCTGGGTGCTCCCTATTGTTCGTTGTTTTTTTTTTTTTTTATCCCTTTTGGGTTTTTAGGAGAGACTAACCCATTTAGGTGTGCTGCCTTCCCTATATAAACACAGCACTATTTCACTACTTGTTTTCCCATTTTCATGTATTTGTAAGACCCTGAAGATATTGTTAGTAGCACAGCTTAGTGAAAATGGCAACCTACGGTAAAAATAATTTCTGAATTTGAGCACAATTTCCACACACAGTCGATGCATTCAAATCATACATTTCTAAATGAAAGACATTGAAAGGTGCTCTTGACATCTTTACCACTCTCTGGAATGCAAGTTTTATTCACTTCTCCCCATCCCTGACTGTAGTAATGGGAGGACCCATTGAAACTTCCTTTATTATTTGGAAGGACAGAGTGAGTGACATTTTTAGACTTCATTTTCACATTTGCACATATTAAAAGAATGACTATTGGTTTCTCGTAGAGGAATTCATTCATCTACAGGTTGGTAATGAATCTAAGAGTTTAAATGAAGGTGAGTGTGGCTTTATGGACTACATTTTATTCAGCAAAGTACGTGAAAGTAAAAACATTTATTCTTGATTCTAGCATTGAATATGCTTTCTCTATGCTTATTGCAAGGTGCTGGGGTCAGAGCTTACAACAATGACTGACAGGGGGTCAGTCATTGTTATAAGCTCAATAACCCCTTCAGCGCCAAGGGAGGGGCACCCTGAGGGTGGGGGGGTCCTAAGGATGCTATAGTATCAGGAAAACGAGTTTGTTTTCCTGACACTATAGTGATCCTTTAATTTTTTGAGAAGGCCTAGCACACTGGAGTAGGGAGGATGACTAGCTCTCTGTGCACAGCTGGAGTTCATCTCAGTGAAAAGGGATTTCTGTGACTGGTAGCTTAGTAATTTCTGCTGTAATTGGCAAAAATAAGTATTTTAGAATATGGGAATAGTGGGACAGTGGTGTCAGGGATAATATGCAGAATATTGCAAAACGTTTTATTCATTTTTTTTATTTTAATGCTTAGCGTTTTTACTGGCTCTTTGTTTTTCTTTGATTGACCTTTTGTTCCTGATTTCATTATGGTTTTTTGGAACCGCAACAAATCTTCGTCTTTTAAGGAATCCTGGGATACCCATACGGTTGTCCCATAAATATTCAGGTGAAAGGAGCTTTGTCGGTTTGTAATAAATAAAGTATTTGTTTAAATGGCTCTCTTCATGCCATAGAGCTTCAATATTTTTCTTTCTGTCTGCCATTATGCCATTATGGCAGTAGTTGGTCAATTTGTATATTTCCTCTGTTGTGCCCCCAAAGTAACCTGCTGCGTAATAAAAGTCCCCCTCATCAGGTGGAATGTAGGCCCTAGACTCTGCCCGGCGTTCATAAGTAAAACTTTGTCGAGATAGGTTATAAAAGCCAGGATGTATGGTCCCAAACAATTCACTTAAGCTCTCTACGCCAACATCGTCACTGAACTGCATGTCAATATCAGCCACAGCCAGGTAGTCAACCTCATTGATGAACCTGTCACGAGTATAATTGCGAATCATCTCCATGCGTCTGAAGCAGATATCCTGCCACCTTTTGTACGTGGGAGATTGTAGGGTAAATAACTGTCTACCTTCACCAAGTTTAAAATTGTACTGGTGTACCTCCTCGACACGATCAGTGAGTATGTAATAGTTGACTTTATGTCCTACCATGAAGAATTTTTCAGCCGTTTCTATGAATTGTTGAAGGAACACTACATACCTGAAAAAAAACAAAAAAAACATAGATGTATAAATACCTTATAAATAAAAAGAGATTCTACATGAATAAGGTAACTGTGATTCTGCTATAAAGATATACAACATCAGTTGTAATACAGCAAAATCTTCTAATTGATCTTGTAGATTTGTGTAAAGTGTCAATCATATAAAGGACAACTGTCAGCAAATTTTTACTTCTGGTTTTTAAAAGTGTATTACATTCAATGAAACTTTATGATTTTTTTAAAATATATTACATTTAATTAAACTTTGATTTTTAAAAAAAATAATGTACATTTATTTTTGGAGAAATTGCTGCTGCAGGTACACACAGATAATATGGAGCAATTAGGGTCTTTGGGATCCCTACCACTATAATTATATTACTCTCTATCCCATCTTCAAGAGAAAAGGACCCTATCCAGTGTATTATGTAAAGCCTGCCCATGTTGTAAAGGAAGTCACTGCCGTCCTAGTATAATTATGTAGAAAACCTTATGCCTTGTCTTACTCAGCACTGGATACCAAAAAAAACTTTATTTTTTTATTTTTTGTATTATACATAGGAAACTAAAATAGTGCATTTAGTGGAATTCTAATCACATTGTGCATTCTAGGAAGGGTTGCCACCTGGCCGGTATTTAAGCGGCACAGCCGGTATTTGGTGCTCTGTGGTCGGTGCCGGTATTGCAAAGATACCGACAATACAATTGCCGGTATTTTTCTATGAGGAGAATGTGCTGCAATATCGGCACCGGCAACCAGGGTGCAGTGCTCTCAGGCCGTACTCCGAAAACTCGTTGGTGCTAGAGCTATGTGAAGAGGGCTGAGATGGGGATCTTGCAGCTTGTCCCTGCCCTCTCCACTAATAGAGTCCGCGTGGGAGGAGCCGGAGCTGCAGGTCCAAGAGGTGGAAGCATGGCAGCAGGGGCTGAGTCTTGAGAGCAGGTACTTGTGTGGGTGTGTATATGCAGCAGTTTGTGTGTGAGTGTATTCAGCAATCAGTGTGTGTGTATATTCAGTACTCTGTGTATGCATTCAACAGTCTATATGTATGTTTTCATCAGTCTGTGTGTGTGATCAGCAGTTTGAGTGTGTATTTAGTAGTCTGCACCTCTGTGTTTGTATTTAGCAGTCTGCGTGTGTGTGTGTATTTAGCAGTCTGTGTGTGGGTATACAGTAGTCTGTGTGTGGGTATACAGCAGCCTGTGTGTGTATACAGCAGTCTATGTGTGTGTTTGTATTTAGTAGCATGTGTATGTTTCCAGCAGTAAAATGGGAGAATGGTGAAAGAATAGAACCAGAATATCAATCTGCTATAGATGCTATGTACACACATTGTTATATAATTTATACACACAATGACATACACAGGCATTGTAGACATAGAAACATAGAATGTGACGGCAGATAAGAACCATTCGGCCCATCTAGTCTGCCCAATTTTCTAAATACTTTCATTAGTCCCTAGTCTTATCTTATAGTTAGGATAGCCTTATGCCTATCCCACGCATGCTTAAACTCCTTTACTGTGTTAACCTCTACCACTTCAGCTGGAAGGCTATTCCATGCATCCACTACCCTCTCAGTAAAGTAATACTTCCTGATATTATTTTTAAACCTTTGTCCCTCTAATTTAAGACTATGTCCTCTTGTTGTGGTAGTTTTTCTTCTTTTAAATATAGTCTCCTCCTTTACTGTGTTGATTCCCTTTATATATTTAAATGTTTCTATCATATCCCCCCTGTCTCGTCTTTCCTCCAAGCTATACATGTTAAGATCCTTTAACCTTTCCTGGTAAGTTTTATCCCACAATCCATGAACCAGTTTAGTAGCCCTTCTCTGAACCCTCTCTAAGGTATCAATATCCTTCTGAAGATACGGTCTCCAGTACTGTGTACAATACTCCAAGTGAGGTCTCACCAGTGTTCTGTATAATGGCATGAGCACTTCCCTCTTTCTACTGCTAATACCTCTCCCTATACAACCAAGCATTCTGCTAGCATTTCCTGCTGCTCTATTACATTGTCTGCCTACCTTTAAGTCATCAGAAATAATCACCCCTAAATCCCTTTCCTCATATGTTGAGGTTAGGACTCTATCAAATATTCTGTACTCTGCCCTTGGGTTTTTACGTCCAAGATGCATTATCTTGCACTTATCCACATTAAATGTCAGTTGCCACAATTCTGACCATTTTTCTAGTTTACCTAAATCATTTGTCATTTGGCTTATCCCTCCTGGAACATCAACCCTGTTACATATCTTAGTATCATCAGCAAAAAGACATACCTTACCATCAAGACCTTCTGCAATATCACTAATAAAAATATTAAAGAGAATGGGTCCAAGTACAGATCCCTGAGGTACCCCACTGGTGACAAGTCCAAGCTTCGAATATATTCCATTAACTACAACCCTCTGTTGCCTGTCACTCAGCCACTGCCTTACCCATTCAACAATATTTGAATCCAAACTTAAAGATTGCAGTTTATTGATAAGCCTTCTATGTGCAACAATGTCAAAAGCCTTACTGAAATCTAGGTAAGCAATGTCTACTGCACCACCCTGATCTATAATTTTAGTTACCCAATCAAAAAAATCAATAAGATTAGTTTGGCATGATCTCCCTGAAGTAAACCCATGTTGTCTCTGATCTTGAAATCCATGTGTTTTTAGATGTTCATCAATCCTATCCTTTAACATGGTTTCCATCACTTTCCCCACTACTGAAGTAAGGCTTACTGGCCTATAGTTGCCCGACTCCTCCCTATTACCTTTCTTGTAAATGGGCACAACATTCGCTAACTTCCAATCTTCTGGGACTACTCCTGTTAACAATGATTGGTTAAATAAATCTGTTAATGGTTTTGCTAGTACACCACTAAGCTCTTTTAATAGCTTTGGGTGTATTCCATCAGGTCCCATTGACTTATTTGTCTTTACTTTTGACAGTTGAAATAGAACCTCTTCCTCTGTAAACTCACGTGTAATAAATGACTCATTTATCCTTTTTCTCAACTGAGGTCCCTTTCCTTCATTTTCTTCTGTAAATACAGAACAAAAATATTCATTGAGGCAGTCAGCCTGACCTTTATCCTCTTCTACATACCTTCCTTCTTTTGTTTTTAATCTAACTAATCCTTGTTTTACTTTTCTTTTCTCATTTATGTATCTAAAAAATGTTTTATCCCCTTTTTTACTGACTGTGCTATTTTCTTTCTGTGTGTGATTTGGAAGCTCTTATAACTTGCTTAGCCTCTTTCTGCCTAATCTTATAGATCATTTTGTCTCCCTCACTCTGGGTTTTTTTATAATTCCTAAATGCTAACTTTTTGTTTTTAACTATTTTGGCTACATCTGCGGAGTACCACAGTGGTTTCTTGAATTTTTGCTTTTACTGACAAGCCTAATGCATTTTTCTGTTGCCTTCAATAGTGCAACTTTTAAATAATCCCATTTCTCTTGGACTCCATTTAAATTGCTCCAGTCTGATAATGACTCCTCTACCCATATTCTAATTTTAGAAAAGTCTGTTTTTCTAAAGTCTAAAACTTTTGTTTTTGTGTGGTGTGACTCAGTCACTGTTCTTATATTAAACCACACTGACTGATGATCACTGGATCCTAAACTTTCACCTACAGTAACATCTGATACCAAATCTCCATTTGTTAACACTAAATCTAGTATGGCCTCTTTACGAGTTGGCTCCTCAACAACTTGTTTTAGAGACAATCCCAGTAGGAAGTTTAGAATATGTGTGCTCCTGGCACAAGTAGCTAATTTTGTTTTCCAATTTACATCAGGAAGATTAAAGTCACCCATGATGATAACTTCCCCCTTCATTGTCATTTTAGCTATTTCCTCAACTAGTAGATTATCTAACTCTTCAATTTGTCCTGGGGCCTATAAATCACACCTACACGAGTTACTGTGTGATTACCAAATTCTAACGTAGCCCAAACGGACTCTATGTTTGCCTCACTAACTTTTATTAGGCTAGATTTTATGCTATCCTTCACATACAAGGCCACCCCTCCCCCTTTCTTGCCTTCCCTATCTTTCCTATATAAAGAGTACCCTGGTATTGCTATGTCCCAGTCATTTTTCTCATTGTACCATGTCTCAGTAACAGCGACTAAATCTACACTACCAGTTGCCATTATTGCCACAAGTTCATGGATCTTATTCCCTAAACTACGAGCATTTGTAGACATGACTCTAAGCTTATCATTTTTTAACACACATGCTAAAGGCACCTTCTGTCCTTGTTTTGGGGGGCAATTGGATTGATGTTTTATCACCCTTTTGCCCCCCCCCTCCTAGTTTAAATACATCCTCGCAAAACCTCTGAACTGCTCACTGAGAACATTTGTTCACTTTTGAGAAAGATGCAAACCATCTTTTTTGTACAGCTTATCTCCATTCCAAACAGAGCTACCATGAGAAATAAAGCCAAATACTTGCTCCCGACACCATTCACCAAGCCACAAATTAAAGTCCCTAATACGCATCTGCCTGTCGTTCTGAGTGTTATGCACAGGCAGAACTTCAGAGAATGACAGTGTGGAAGCAACCTGAGAGTGAAGCTCTAAGAAGCTCTATTTGAGAGTGAAACGCGTATTGGACATTTTTAAAGGACTTTTATTTGAGGACTTTTATCATCTTTGTTTTTATGTTTATTTTAAACTAATAAATTCACCATTTTCATTTAATACCTCATCCAAGTTCTTTTTGGAGCCTCCAAGGAATCCTCACAGGGGTAGTGCCATCCCCATTCAAATTGGCACAAAATCCACATACCTAGAGCCGGGATTCGTAGGCTCAGGACCAGGTGAGCACCCCATTTATTGAACACATATCTGTGTCATTTATCACCATAAGTCTACACATTGGTTTGCTTTCTTCTCTTTTTTCGTGTTCTCGAGAAATTCTTCAAGCCGAAATAGGAGGGTGGTGCTACCATAACAGCACACAAGCCTTTATACGGAGCCAGTGTTTTCTATATACAGGCTCCTTGAAATGTGAGTGTAATATTCAACACGATATTATTATAATCACTGTGAAGCCATTTTTTAGTACCATCTACACTATATTGTATTTTCTGTATTTTATTTTGACATGTACCCCATATTTTACCATTGAATGAGACTACGTTTTGGTAAGATTTATCTGTGTTTGAGCTCTCCACTTATAGGTGTAGGTCCTTGTCACTTAAACCGCACCAATATCTACTAAATTTATTCAGTGGAATAGAGGATATTTCCACACTAGTGTATTGAGCTGCCTGTAAATCACTTTTTGACTCTTTTGAGCACTTTTGTTATACACACTCCTCTGTAAAAAGAGGCAACCTTTGATTGGTATTCATAGCCAGGATTCAGCTGTAAGCATTTGCAACACTTACAACAATCAAGTAACACACATTCATATAAAATGTAAGTTACTTATCCAGTCAATGTAATGGCAGAAATGAATAAGTAGATAACTCCCTAATTCCCACGGTATTAGGGAGCTATCTACTAAAAGGCTGAAAGACCTAAATTGGTCTTTCAGCCAAATGTACTAATACTAAGTAAACATTACTTAGTATTAGTAAATTATGCCCCTAAGCGCTATACCGCGAGTAGGGGCATGTCTATTAAACAGTGAGCAGCCTGAGTGGTGGGTGGGGGCCCTAAATACTAATTAAGGGGGGACCTAATGTCCCCCCCCGGTCCCCACCCCTGAGTGGTGGGTGGGGCCCTAAATACTAATTGGGTGGGGCACCTAATGTCAGGGGTGGAGGCCAGGGTGGAGGACATTAAGTCCCCCCCAATTAGTATTTTAGGGCCCCCACCCACCGCTCAGGGGTGGGGGCCAGTGGGGAGGACATTAGGTACCCCCTAATTAGTATTTTAGGGCCCCCACCCACCACTCAGGGGTGGGGGGCAGGGGGGAGGACATTAGGTCCGCCACATCATTTTAATTTAGGGCCCCCACCCACCGATCAGGGGTGGGGGCCAGGAAGGAGGACATTAGGTCCCCCCTAATTAGTATTTAAAGCCCCCACCCACCGCTCAGGAGTGTGGGCCAGGGGGGAGGACATTAGGTGTCCCCCCTCATTCTAATTTAGGGTCCCCACCCACCGCTCAGGGGTGGGGCCAGGTGGGAGGACATTAGGTGTCCCCCCTCATTCTAATTTAGGGTCCCCACCCACTGCTCAGGGGTGGGGGCCAGGGGGGAGGACATTAGGTCCCCCCTCATTCTAATTTAGGGCCCCCCCACCCACCGCTCAGGGGTGGGGACCGGGGGGGCAATAGGTTCCACCCCATTATTTTACTTTAGGGCCCCCACCCGCCACTCATGGGTGGGGGCCAGAGGGGGCAATAGGCCCCCCTTTAGTTTAAAAACCCCCACTCGCACATTGCGGGTGGGGGCTCCGGAGGGGGGACCCATTTTTAGAAAAAAATTTTTTAACAGTGAGCAGCCACTGGCTGCTCACTGTTTAATAGACATGCCCCTACTCGTGGTATAGCGAGTAGGGGCACAATTTACAAATACTAAGTAATTTTTACTTAGTATTAGTAAATTTGGCTGAAAGACAAATTTAGGTCTTTCAGCTTTTTGGTAGATAATTCCCTAATACCGTGGGAATTAGGGAGTTATCTGTCAAGCGGCTGCAAAAGAAGTTCCGAAATTCTGAAGTGCCGAAGTGTCGAAGTTGCTGAAGTTCCAAAGTGTCGAAGTGCCGAATTGCCGAAGTGCCGAATTGCCGAGGTCCCGAAGTTCTGAAATTACAGAATTTCCGAAGTGTCGAAGTGCTGAAGTTGCCGAAGTTCCGAAGTGCCGAATTCCCAAATTTCGGAATGCTGAACCGAACCGAAAATTTTTCCATGCACATGCCTAACACACACACTCACTCACTCATACAGACAGTACATATACACACTGCCTCACATTCACAATGCTATACACACAGTCAGACAAAGTACAAACATTGTAAGTAGTTTATTATTGATTTAGGGAATTTTATCCTTCCAAATGTTCTCATTCTTGTATGTACGTCGTGCCCTGTGATGTTACGCATATATAATTAATTATGCAAATTAGAATGACTGGTATTTTTTTCCCAAAAAGGTGGCAACCCTAATTCTAGGAGACATTTCACTCCAATTAGAATATTTTTTTTAGGCATAGTGGTAAAGGTATTCAAGATAGTAATTTTCGTTTTGTAGTAAATTTGCTGTGACAACCCAAACAGCATCAGGCTCTTGTAATTCAACCAGTTAATACCAAAGGCAAGTTTCCTCTTATTTATACCCCCTCCCCCCAACACACTAATTTTTATGATAACGTATATGAAATCGTTATTACTTACTTTTTAATGGCAAACATCGCAAGGCCAATGCGAACTCCTCTTAATTGGAACTGGGCATTCAATATATCAATGTTATAGGTACCATTCCACACAATAGGGGCAAGCCACGGTGTCATCATCACCACATCTGTTCTTCTATAATATTGAAAATACACGCAGAGTTAGACATTTTTACCCTCTGCAAGAAATCACTGATTTATTGATTCAAGTTTTTAATGATATTTCTGGTAATAATAAATAAATGAATAAATAAATAAAACATTTTATTAGAATTTTTTTAAAGTTAAGTATCCCAGAATACCATGTGAAATATGCAAATACGTATAAAAAAAAAAAACGTTTTTACATTTTGAAGGCATTCTTTTGCAATGAAATTTAGAATTGACAGAATTTCCCTTTCAGTATTTACTGTATTGTTTACTAAATAGACCTGTACACAGCAAGAAACTTACACAGCTTGTAAAACATGTTCTATTTAGCATAAATACATTTCATATGTCTTTCCATTATATTCACATTCATATCATATAAATAACAGTATGCTGAATGTTCTTCAAGTCAGAATAGGCACAAAGCTTTTACTGCATTAAAAGTTCCTCAGTTTTTGAGCACCTTTGCCAAAGGGCTGGAAGATGTGTTTTATTTATTTGTTATGATATCTGGTGTCACATATGCACACAGCCTGAAAAAACCTCCCATTAGCTGAGAGGCGTGCCCAACAATGCAATCTGACCAAGTTTGCAGTAATTTTTTAAACATTTCTTACATTATTTCTTGTTTTATTTTGGTTTGTTTGAAAAGTGTTTGCTGGTTTAAAAAATATAAAGTAATGCATGTCCTTTTAACAACTTTCTTATTAGCGGTTCCCAGTTTTGTAAACAAGAGAATTGCACATTTTAAGCCAAAATAAATTACCTTGGAAAGTCGGAGGTAAAGATATGTTTTAAAAATTCAGAACTGGTTGCTAAAATTTGCAATACCCTTACTAACTATGCACAATTGATGGTTTAGGCAATAAAGTTCCTGTGCTCCTAACCGTCACCACTGTTTAGTGAAAATATACAGGAAAAAAAAAGTTTGAATACATAAAACTCACGGTGGGGTAAGAGCTTGCGGCTTCTCATATAGCATCCTGAAAGCACAAAAAAAACAGATTGTATTTTAATTAAGATTTAAAGCTGCTATTACCACAACTTACATATATTGGTGATATTTTGCAGATGTTTTATTTTTATACCGAATTTTACCAATGAATAGAAGAATCATGATTTCAGTGATATGTATGCTTGTTTGAATTAAAAGGACACTTACAGGGTTATGTAATACATTGAAAATTCAAAATGAATTCCATGTAAAATTAAAATTTATGGTCAAAATATTCGAATTAGACAGAAAGGAACAATCCAGACCCCTAAAGCACCTCAGCTTACTGAGCAGTGGCGTCTCCAGGATTCATACTTGGGGGGCACATAAGGGGCCAAGGACAAAAGTAGGGGGGCAGGTATAAAACGTGTGTGTGTGTGTATATATATATATATATGTGTGTATTTACAAATTCCAGGCGCCAGGTTGCCATGGCGACTAGACACTTCAACCTGGCGCCTGGCATTTGTCAGCTGATTTTTAAGCCACGCAGGAAACATTAAGGCTGGCCGCCGCTGGGAGCATGGAGGAGGAGCGTGAGGGAGCAGTAACCTTCCTGCAGTTCCTCTCTGCTCCCAGGCGCGCTATTTAGTGACATGACGTCACTCCGTCCTCGGCATCACTACAGAGAGCGCGCAGAGGAGCAGAGAGAAACTGCAGGAAGACTGAGAGGAGACACAATGGATGCCAGGGAAAGATCCACTCAGCTCTCCCAATGGTAGGCAGGCTGGATGAATTTAAATTAAAATAAATATAGAATTTGTGAGTGTGTGAGAAAAATTGTGTGTGCTCAAAGGGCATGTATGTGTGTGTGTGTGGGGGGTGAAGGTATGTGGGGAAGAAGTGTGTATGTGGATGAAGAGATGATGTGTGTGTGGGGTGCACTGTGTGTGTATGCAAAGGTGTACTTTCTGTGAGGGTTTACTGTGTTTAGGGGGTGTAGAGAGTGGGATAGGGAAGAGCTTTACAATTCTTACTTTAATAATTGTTTAAAAAAAAATAATAATAATAATACTCCCCTTTCCCTCATTTTACCTTGTAGGGAGGTGGTGGCACAATCAGATCCATCGTGGTTGAGAAGGCTGCCTATCCTGTATTCGGGTACAAGGGAGGTCACGAAATGAGAGGTATCTCTCTTGGAGCTCAAGCACTTACAGAGACTGACCCATACAAACCCACAGACTGACCCATACACATACACAGACAGACCCATTGACACACACACACAGACTGCCACCCCACACACAGACTGACCCATACGCACACACAGACTGCTCCTCCACACAGACTGACCCATACATACACAGACTGACCCCACACACACACAAATTGACCCGCCCCCACACACAGACTGACCACCTCACACAGACTGACCCATGCACACCCACAGACTGATCCATGCACACACAGACTGACCTCCACAAACACGAACTGACCCCCCCACACACACAGACTGACCCATACACATAATGGCTGACCCACCCCACACAGACTGACCCATGCACACACACAGACTGACCCATGCACAAACAGACTGACCCCCTACCGCCACACACAGACTGATCCCCCAACACACACAGACTGACCCATCCCACACAGAATGACCCATACACACACACAGACTGAACCCTTCACCCCCACACACAGACTGAATTCCCCACCCTGAAACACAGACTGATCCCCACAAACAGAGACTGACCCCCCACACATATCCATACACACAGACTGACCCATACACACACAGACTGACCCATACACACCCATACACACACATACTGACCCCCACATACAGACTGACCCATACACACAGGCAGACTGACCACCCACACCCATACACACACAGACTGACCCCCCACACATACTGACCCATACACTTACAGACTTACCCAAACACACAAACCCTTCACCCCCACACACAGACTGAATCCCCCACCCCTAAACACAGGCTGATCCCCACAAACAAAGACTTACCCCATACACACCCATACACACAGACTGACCCATAAACACACAGACTGACCCATACACACAAACTGACCCAAACACACACACATACTGACCACCCCACACCTACACACACACAGAGACTGAACCCCGACTCCCACACACAGACTGATACCCCACAAACAGAGACTGACCCCCCATACACACAGACTGACCCATACACACCCATACACACACAGACTGATCCCCCCCACACACAGACTGACCACCCTACACCCATACACACACAGACTGACCCCCCACACACAGACTGACCCATACACGCACACAGACTGACCACCCACATCTATTCACATACAGACTGACCCCCCACACACAAATTGACACACACACACACAGACTTATTTACATATATACCTTGTTAAAAACCCCTGGCTATCTGGCGGTCAATCAGATAACAGATACTGTTACTTCCTGGTTGTTCTGCTCAGTGAAGCTAAACTTAAGAGGCGGCAATTGTACACAAAAGAAAATTATAATAAAGAGATAGTAAAAAAAAAAAAGGAGACAGCAATTGCTCAGAGCACCAGCCTTGCAAAGACTTCTCATTGAGTTGCATTGGGAAGTCTTTGATTGGACAGTCAAAGATAGTCTGGACAGGAGATATGCAGCTTTTGCAAGCTGGCTTTAGATGTGACACCAATGCATTACTAAATGCATGTAATCACCAGCTCAGAGTAAAACAGCATACAGTGGTATTTAAACTCCCCACATGTAGGATATCCTTCTAGCGATATTTGCAGTGCAGGTCTTATGAAAAATAAAATCACAAAAGATACACTTGAAAAAGCCTATTTTTGGCGAAACGCGTTGGGTTTTTTATGCTTTTGTTAAAATAAAAGTATTTTTAGACTACCTATCTGTCCGTGGTTAGTCATCTTACTTTTATTTGTTGCTGTTTTATCTCCTGGCTGATTTTTTATTATTCTTAAGATCCAGTACTACAAAAGAAATCCTAGGTGGGGATTATTCCACTCACGTCTGGTTCATAGAGCAGTGTGTCTGCTCTATCCACTGTAAGGACGTTTCATTTTATCTTTTACTTCTATTTTATCTACTGAGAACACTATGGGCCCTCTTTTGTGATTTTATTTTTCATAAGACCTGCACTGCAAATATCGCTAGAAGGATATCCTACATGTGGGGAGTTTAAATACCACTATATGCTGTTTTACTCAGAGCTGGGGATAGCTCTCTCAATTGTAAGCTGGCACTCTTAGGACCTCAGTGTTTGTTTGTAGTTATAGTTGACATACGTTATTGCACCATTGGGTTTTCCTCTTATTTTTATGTATTTTATATGCTGACGTGTATCTGAGACGCTGCAAGAAGTATTGAAGAAACACCTCCTATTGTCCAGCTATATCCTACATGTGGGGAGTTTCAAATACCACTGCATGCTGTTTTACCTAGAGCTGGGCATAGCTCTTTGTATTGTGAGTTTTGCACTATTGGTCCCTTCCTGTTTCTGCTTTTGTATTTCATATTTACCACTGAGGACCCAAAGCAAGAACCAAAGAATACCTATCCAAGGTCCACATTGCATTTTCAGAGACGTTTTGTACTTCATTTTTTCTGTGTATATTATTTCTCATTGTTCTACTTAGCGCACCCTGTATTTGCTGTTTCCTTTCTTATTATATTGTATGTAAATAATTTTGAAAAATGTAATACAAATATTTGAAAGGAAGATTATTGCACTCTAATCAATATAAATACAGCAGAATTACAAAATTAATAAATGTTTAAATTAATAAAGGAATTATATTCTATATAAAAATATAAATGAACAAATTGTAATCATAAATAATTTAGAGTACAGCACTTTAAATTGAGATGGTATGAAAATAAACCAATATAATATTAGGTGATCTCTATACCGTAATGGGTAGTAAACAGATATAACGTAATAGGATGAATCTAAGAAAATATACCTTTTTGTTTGTTTACACAGTATCGTGTTTTCTATATATAAAGTGATGTCATTTAAAATCAGAAGTCAAAGATACATATACAGTTGATTACATTGTGTTTTGAAAGATTGTGACATCATGTACGAAGATGGAATGAATGCACTTAGTACCAGTGGAACGCACATGTGATCAATTTTCACAAAGATGAAACGATTGGGATCAGACTGGAGGAGGGTGCTGATCTCAACAAGAAGTACAGGCAAAGGATAGGATGGACATCATAGAGTAGGAGCACACACTCACTGAAACATCAATGGGAGCTGAGGTTTTGGACTATTTAAAGAGAAACTCGATCGGATGAGTTTATGACGAGTAGTTCGGCTTTTTATTTTGTATGTGATTTGTTTTGGTACCTACGGAACTCCTAAACAAGAAGAAATGTGTTGGACCAATATTTGTTTTGATTCCTTTATTATATATTAACACAGTTTGGCAATAAATATTTGCAACAACAGTGATCAAGAAGTCTGAAGTTTCTGAGAGTGGCTGGACAGGTCCTATCCTTGAACTACATAGTCATTTGGGGATAGTGAGTGCTGAGCAGATGGTCCCTTATGTGACTGTTGGGAGGCATGGCTTAGATACACCCTAGAACTCAGAGGCACACTAGTATACAGACACACCCTAGCACATAGATGCATCCTAACACACATACACACTCTAACATACAGAGACAAAAACTAAAATGCATTCAGACACAGACTAGCAGAAATTCGTAGACGCACACCATAGCACACATACATAAACAAATACATACAAAAATGGAAAAGCATGAGCACACAAACAAACTTAATAACACTCACATGTATAAACACAAACTAACATCCATCCATAAACATAGACTAATTTACACACAAGTTCAGTGGTAGAAATGCCGCTGGTGCGGCTTCACCGAGGCTGGTATGCAGAGGTGGTCCATTGGGTGGTCCTAGGTGCATGGGCCTCTTGATAGTCTTACTGAATGGGGCCCCGTTGGGTGCAGAGGACCTTTAACAGTGCGACTGGGCCCCTATTATATCACCGAAGCTGGGGGGAAGTGAGTGTTTGCACACCCTCCCAGATACAGGGAGACAGCCACACAGGAAGCAGAGAGGAAGCAAAAGTGGGAAGAAGCAAGGACAGTGCCAGCTCCAGAAACACACTCCTTTCAGACTCAGCCAGCACCAGGACCCCAAGGAAGCCACCTTTACATAAAATGTGTGCATCTGTGTGTATGTGTGTGTCAGTGTTTGGAACTGTGTGTGTTTGTGCGTAAGTGTCTATTTGTCAATGTGTGCATCTGTGTGTGTATGTGTCTGTGTGCATCTGTTTGTTTAAGTATCTGTGTGTTCGTGTATGAGTCAGTGTGTGTATATGTGTGTCAGTGTGTGTGTCAGTGTATGTAGGCATGTGTCAGTGTGTTTATATGTATTTGTCAGTGTGTGCATATGTAAGTGTATGTAAATGTGTGTGCTTTGTCTGTGTGTGTGTGCCACTAAATGACAGTAATGATTTTGTGGTGGAATCAGCTACATTTAGACAAATAGTATATTGTAGCATCAATAAATCATAGTACAAGGAATCATTTGTACTATACTCCTGGTGATTGCCCCAGTATATAATATCATTGTTTACATTATCATTGTTTACAGATGTTAAGTTACCGTTGAAGAAGTTTTGGTTCTTGTATTTGGTCTGCACTGGATACACTGTAACAACAGGTTTAAAAATAATTATATGAGATATTAAACAAAATGCCCTATGACATCAGCAGCAAGCATACAGTGTGTGTATTTGTGTGTGTGCCAGTGCGTATCTGTGTATGTATGTATGTATGAGACAGTGTATGGGTAGAAGTGCATATATCCCAACTAGCCAATACCAACACTGCAAGCTGTGACGAGACCAATCTCGCCACATTGCATTGGAGAAGCCTGGTTGCTCGCCTGCTGCCTCTGGACTATGGCCCCCTTTTAAAAGACTTTATTTCACCTGAAGAAAAGCTGTATTCGTGCTTTTCTGCCAGTTGTTCTGTAGATTTAATCTACCGAACAACCGCACGAATGAATAGACCACCTGGGAGCTGGAGTGTGCCGGCAATTAACCTCCCTGAAGCTGCGGTTAACCGCAGCTTAATTGACGAATGCTGGGTGGCCGCCATTCGTATCCCGAACACGAGGTCGGGGCCATTTTAAACATACGAATGCACAGCGGTGTTCTCCCCTATTTTCATGGAACTAAAATCGGACACAGTTTTGCGCGAACACCGCTGAAGCCGCCGACCTCCCTTCTTGTTCGGTGGAAGTGCACGAACGGCCCGGTGTTTGGTAGTTTTGGTTGAATGTGTTATACCCCAGATAGGAATCCCATGGAGCCCATTCGTATGAAACTGACTGTAAAGACTTTGGCTCCATGGCGATTAAACTGTATTCGTGTGGTCTGAGCGCCATTCGCTTAATAATGTGCGCTCAGACCTGAGCTATCTGGGGATATGTTACATGTCTGTGTTTTATGTATGTTACTTTATGTATTTTAAAGTATAATACTGGTTTTGTATCCCCACATGTGTAATGGAGTTTTGCCTTTGTCTTGGGAGATAATTTAATTACTTCCCAATTATCTCCCAGGGCAGAGGGGAGGAAGCCAGGATGCATTGTGGGAATATATTGTGACTGTGTGTCCTATTTGTCTACTTGTCTGTCTTTTGTCACAGTCTCCCATTTGGTCCCCTAGGGGAGTGTCCACCAGGTGGGAGACCTGCATAAATACTGGGCAGGTAGCCCTCATTAAACAGACCACTGCTTGACCCTCAACACGGAGCTCTGTCTCATCTTTGGGGGGATTTACTGTATGCTGCTAAGGACTGATTGCCAGGAGTGTAAGCCGCTTGGGAGCTTTTCCTGTTCGTCTGGTAGCAGCGATTCGTATGGTTCCTGTTCGTGTATTTGGAGTGCTATCTTATTCCCTTGTATGCCGTTAGGGAGTTTGGAGCATTCACTTGTATGCAGTTCGAGAGTTTGGAGCATTCCCTTGTATGCTGTTCGGGAGTTTGGAGCATTCACTTGTATTCAGTTCGGGAGTTTTGGTGATTCTACAGTAGCTGTGCCTGTCTCTGAAAGGGGATTATCGTCTAAGCGTTTTTTTTTCCCTTTTGTGCAAAACGGTCCGTTAATTGTAACGGACCGTTTTGCACACAAGGGGTAAAAACCGTCTAGACGATCGGCCCCCTTTCCAGAGATACAGGCACAGCTACTGCAGAACACCAAACTCCCGAACTGGATACAAAATAGCACTCCAACTCCCAAACTGGAACCTCCCAAACAGCTGCTAGCAGACGAACAGGAAAAGCAGACAATCAGCTTACACTCCTGGCAATCAGTCTCTAACAGCATACAGTGAATCCCCCCAAGAACGAGACAAGGCTCTGTGTTGAGGGTCAAGCAGTGGTCTGAGGTGCTGGCACACCCAGCCTGGTTTTTATTACAGTCTTGCAAATACAGGACTGCCCACAGTGAGGTATAAAATATCCAGTAACATATTAGTTACAACCCACAGATTCCCTCCCCCTTATCCTGAGAGGTAACCCAATACACATACCTTTTACCACAATGCATCCTGGCTTCCTCTCCTCTGCCCTGGAGATAAGTGAGAAGTAATTCAATTATCTCCCAGGACAGGGACAAGACTCCATTATGCACATGGTGACACAAAGACAGTAAAACACTTTAAAATACATAAAGTCACCTTTTACACATAACACACAGACATTTAACATATCCCCAGATAGCTCAGGTCTGAGCGCACATTATTAAGTGAATGGCGCTCAGACCACACGAATACAGTTTAATCGCCATGGAGCCAAAGTCTTTACAGTCAGTTTCATACGAATGGGCTCCATGGGATTCCTATCTGGGGTATAACACATTCAAACAAATCTACCGAACCCCAGGCAGAAAAGCACGAATGAAGCTTTTCTGCAGGTAAAAAAGATGTCTTTTAACAGGGGGCCATAGTCCAGAGGCAGCAGGCGAGCAACCAGGCTTCTCCAATGCAATGTGGCGAGATTGGTCTCGTCACACAAGCAAACACACCCTTTCAATCAAACACAAACATTACACACAAACACACCCCTTCATTAAAATGGTAAAATGATCTACACGCACTCCTTCATTCAACACAAACACTACACACAAAAGTACACCTGCATTTAAGGGTTAATACTACATACAAGCTCACCGCTGCATTAAAACACTACACGCAAGTACATACAAATACACCCCTACATGCACCCACATACTGCATACAAAAACATGATTAAATTCAAACGCACAAACACTGCTCATAAATACAACCCTGCAAAGATGGACAAATAGGAGATCCCCAGCTGGAATAGCATTGTAGGAGTTGTATGACAGATGGTGACCTACCTTTTGACCACACTTGTGATGGGGTTGGGGGGGCAAAAATAAATCTTGCACCATGTTCCTCTTTACATTAGTTCCACCACTTAACAAATTAAAATGTTATTATCCTCCTGTCTTCTTACTTTACATAGGAAGGGAGTAGAGGCACTCTGTACTGTCCCTGGTGTACAGTGTTGGAGCAACAGGAGAGATGTACACCGGGCAGCACTGCTTTCCCTCCTGCTACCCTCAGCTTTCACGGTAGTTGGCGCCATAATATAATCAGCCCCTGCTGTGTTTCTCAGTGTTACTATGTAGCTGACAGAGTTACGGACAGTAATGCTTTTGTGGTAGTATCAGCTACATTTGTACAAATAGTATAGTGTAGCATCAATAAATCATAGTACAAGGAATCATTTGTACCATACTCCTGGTGATTGCCCCAGTATATAATATCATTGTTTACATTATGTTATCAGATGTTAAGTTACCGTTGAAGAAGTTTTGGTTCTTGTATTTGGTCTGCACTGGATACACTGTAACAACAGGTTTAAAAATAATTATATGAGATATAAAACAAAATGCCCCATGACATCAGCAGCAAGCATTTAATGATATTAAAAAATAACAGGAATCAAATTAAATCAGAACATTAGTTTCACCATATTTTAACTCTAGTAGAATTCACATAAACTGCAAATATTACAATTATTGTGTCAGTTACCATTTTGCACATTATGTAAATGATAATGTTGGCCAGCCGTTGTGGACCTGTTTTGGATGTCTACTTGGTTAGCAGGATCCTCGTTGGCTGTATACACTGATCATCCACAACGATAAAACCACTGACTGGTGCAGTGAATGACTTTAATGATATCATTACAATATCACATGTCAAGGGGTGGGATATTTCAGGCAGCAAGTGAATGGTCAGTTCTTGAATTTTATGTGTTGGAAGCAGAAAAAATGGGCAAGCGAAAAAAGATGTCTGACAACTGGGTCATAACAATTCCACAAATTCAAGTCTTGTGGGATGTTCCCGGTTTGCAGTGGTTAGTACAATGGGTGAAGCAACATCTGGGTCATGGGAGCCCAAGGCCTACTGACGCACATGGGGAGTGAAGGCTATCCCAGCTGGTCAGATCATACAGAAAAGCTAATGTAGTTCAAATTGCTGAATACCTTAGTGTTAACCATGAAAGAAAGGTGTCATACCACACAATGCATTGCAGTTTACTACAAATGGGGCTGCATAGCTTCAGAATGGTCAGATAGCCCAGGATGGCCCCTGTCTACCGCCAAAAGCACCCTCAATGGGGATTTGAGCAATAGAACTGGACCACGGAGCAATGAAAGAAAGTTGCCTGATCTGATGAATCACATTTTCTTTTAGATCAAGGGATGGTTGTGTGCGTTTGCATTCCTTTTTATGGGGAACAGATGGCAACAATATGCACTGTAGGATGAAGGCAGACTTAAAGGATCTGCTGCTAATGCATTGATGCCAGATACCACGGGACAGATTCAGAGGTCTTGTGGAGTCCATGCCTCGATTCATCAGAGCTGTTTTGGCAGTATGAGGGGAACCTGCATGATATTAGGCAGGTGATTTTAAGGTTGTGGCTAATCAGTGCATATGCTACAGTTAAAGTGCAGAAATCAGTTAATGTGCACATTAACTAGGCTGATCAGTTAAAGTGCAGAAAATTGTTTAATCTGCACATTACCTACTAGGCACTAGGTGAAGTGCAAAATAAGATCTTTTGTTGGAACAACAGCAACGTTTAAGAAGCAAGTTAGTACAATCAAACGAGAATCAAGTTAACATAATGTTATTTATTTAGCAACAAAGAAGCAAGTTTCTGTTACAAAACTGGTTTCATTCTCCTCAATGAGAAGTATTTCTCAGACTTACGGAGCAGCATTGTTGTTAGTAGCCAGCCCCCTCTCAGAAGCAACAAGCCATGCGTCTACGCTTTGAGAATTTGAATGGAGGGCATTGAAAAGGAACTTGTTCACAAAAGAATCGAGACAGGTTCACAAAAGAATCGAGACAGGTTCACACAGAATCTTTCTTCATTCAGACGAGAAGTGAACGACTCTGCAGAGACTGCACTGAAAGGGTGAAACAGGTTCTGCTGCGAGGACGTTTTGTAATAAATCATTTCCTCTTTACCCGAGGGGAAAGAAACAAACATTTTGCACTTTAACTAGACACAAGCTGTTAATGTGCACATTACCTAGGTAAAGTGTGGAAAACTCTCGATTCCTCATTTTAACTAAGTAAATCAGTTAATCTGCAGATTAACTAGGTAATGTGCACATTAACGGATTTCTCACTTTAACTGTAACACATATAACCCCATTGTTGGCCCTTTGTGCATAAACGTTTAAAGAATAAATGGTTTTACGTGGATCATGAGAAGAGACAGATATCTGTGATCCAGAGATCTTTTCCACTATATGATAATTCTTCTTATTGTTAAATAAATTAAATTCAGGCCATTTACCATTTCTTCTTCTTATTTTTTTTTTAAAGTAAAAATCTGAATATATGCATAATTTAACTGCAGATTACAGTGGCTCTGTCACATCAAACTTATTGGACCAAAGTGTGTTGACCCATTTTGCTAGTATTTTTATGTAATTCACTATGATTGCATTATACAAACGTCATTATTTTTTATCAGCAAGCAAATAGTAAAACATTTGCAACTACTTTTTGCAACTTAGTATCAGGCACTGCAGAATATAATAACATATTTTGAGTTATATCAGAGTCATTAGCAGGTATATGTGTAAAAAGTATACTAACACCTAATGAAAGTGCTGAGCATTGCAGTCAATCATCCCATCATCCCAATATTTTGTTTAGCGTTTTCCATCAAATGTGCCATACTCCTGGTGATTGCCCCAGTGTCACATCATGCCATGTTCTGCGGAGATGTCTGGCTTTGGTTTCTGGTATCCAGTACTCTTTTTACAATTCTTGTTTAGTTTTCTATTCTATGTCTGGTTTTCTTTTTTCTTTTTTTTTTTTTTAATTCTTTATTTTTGCTGTGCAGGTGGGTACAAGAAAACAGGCGCCACAACAGCGTAGTGCAAGATATACAATGGTTAAACAATGGCATGAGAGTCTGCACAATTTTATATTTTTAGCAAGCTTGCCTAACTATTTGTATCATTAGCATGAAGTTAAACGAAATACAGCAAGATAATTGATGCTTAACTTGTCTAATTAGGCATATGTGTGAGAACCAAAACAGTGAGCTTATTTTTGCCTTTAAAACAGGAGCAATGGTCAGCATCAAGACCCGATGTCTGTAGGCTTAATTAAGTTTAACCACCAGGGGGCAGCAGAGCGTCAGACATACATACAGGCTCAAACATTTTAATTGCTTTCTAACTGCAGGAAGAATCTGCTATAAAAACACACATCAATATGGTAGATGAGATACTAGACCAAGAGGTACACCACAGTCTATTATAGCTTTAGGCATAAATAGTTAGAAGCCGCTTGGTCCCTCCTGCAGCTGTGCGTTTAGCTGGTTATTTCACTGTGTGGGGGCTTGACAGTCAGGAGTGGAGCTTATTCCCCATTTACGTTGTTCCCTTGTATTCAGGCAGGGTCAGGGTCCAGACAGAGTCCCCTTATATCCACTTGTGTTAATGAGAGGTGATGCCTCTGTTGGTGTGAGTGCTATAATGCTGAGCTGAGCTGAGCTGTGCTTGGCTTGCTTGTGGAGTATATCCCTTATACAGGTATCCTGTGGGTGAACGGAGCACTCCGTCTGTCTGCTGTTGCCTCACTTTGTCTCACAATGAGCGCGGCGGCCATCTTAGTTTTTCCCCATGCGGTCCCCGGTCAGTCTTCCTGCCGCTTAGATGCCCTGAACGAGCGCTGCGTCCCCGATGGGGTCCGGGATAACCCCCCCGGCCCACAGGGGGGGGTAACGGGGCCCTTTGCAGGCGGCGGGAGGTCCTGCCGGACCAAGCACGAGAGATAGGCCGCTTCTCCCGCCAGGGCCTCACAGCAGGCCGCAATCCCCCTCGCCTAGCAGACCGCATCGCCAGGCTGTTGGTCGGGTCCCCTTTGCCCTCTCACGGCAGCTGAGGGGTTTCCAGGTAAAGAAGGGCATATTTAAGCTGGTCTCTGCGATTTTAGCAGGGAGCCGAGGTGCTCCACGTCTACCCCGCTCGGCGGCCAGGCCCCGCCCCCCTATGTCTGGTTTTCTTTATGCTGGTTTTTTTTTGGGGTTCATTCCTGTAATCCGTCCCTGGAATTCCCAGTGTCCAGGTTTCCTTTAAATGTTTGTTTTATGTTGCCACACCTGTTTGTTTTCCATCATTCCTTTTGTTTCAGTTGGTCCCTGCAGGCAGCTGCTCAAGTCTCTGCCCTTTCTTGCAGGTAAGTGCTATTGTGGTTTAGTATGGTTCTTTTAGCGAACATTAGGCAGTGTAGGACCTGCCAGATATGGGGTACATTGGCGTTGTGGCAGGCTTATGCAATGTATGATCATATAATGTAACTAAATCCCCATATTTTTTATATATAGTGCTTAGTTATGTCTCCTCTTGTTTTGCCTATTATATCTTGTCTTGTTTTATTTTTTATTCCCAGTTCATGTACAGTCCTGTCCTGCCCTGTTCTTGTTTTCCTCATGTCTTGTGTACATGTTCTGGGTTCTGCTTTCTGTCTTGCTCTGGTTCTGGGTTCTATTAGTTCTGTCTTATTTTCATGTTTGGTGACTATCCTAGCCTTGCCTTGTTTCTATACTGGATACATGTCTGCTGCAGAGCCCCCCTATCCAGTTCCTGGGAGGTCTGCATATCAAGCTCCTAGTTCCAGGGATCCGCTGTAGCTGCATCAGGGTTCTGGTATGTGGCCGCGCAAACGCTGGTGCTCAACGCCAGAGTACATGTGGTTACCCTGCACCAGGCCCTGATAGTCCATTACCACGCTGAAGACGCCCACTTCTCATCAGGCACTCAGGGGTCCCGGTTTCCGTAACGCCACCTGTGACACCCAGTATATAAATGACACTAAATGACAGTAATGATTTTGTTGTGGAATCAGCTAGACTCATACAAATAGTATAGTGTAGCATCAATAAATCATAGTACAAGGAATCATTTGTACCATACTCCTGGTGATTGCCCCAGTATATAATATCATTGTTTACTTTGTGTTATCAGATGTTAAGTTACCGTTGAAGAAGTTTTGGTTCTTGTATTTGGTCTGCACTGGATACACTGTAACAACAGGTTTAAAAATAATTATATGAGATATTAAACAAAATGCCCCATGACATCAGCAGCAAGCATTTAATAAAGTGATAAAATAACAGGAAGCAAATGAAATCAGAATTTGTTTCACCATATATTTTTTTAATGAAAAAGTATGAATTTAATTTCTAGTGGAATTCAAATAAACTACAAATATTCCAATTATTGTGTCAGTTACCATTTTGCACATTATGTAAATGATAATGTTGGCCAGCCGTTGTGGACCTGTTTTGGATGTCTACTTGGTTAG